TTTTGTGAAGGGTCTGGACTCTTCAGTAAATAGAATCACCCCAAATTAATTATAAAGCCCCAAGTGGAATTTTCTGGCTTACGTAACTGGTAAGAATTCCTGATGAGTTCACAGAATGAAGAAACTGCAGGATCTTGGGGCCAGGGACTGGGGACGCAGCAATCTCGCTCTTCAGACTTTTTTCTCGCCTGCTTTTTGTCTGTTTCATTTTGGACACGGACCACATTGTCTCCTAATGCGGACAGTCCTGTGCCAGGCCCTTTCAATATGGCGGGGAGCAACGTCAGGGGAAAGAGAGGTTGATTTTTACATACTCAAATATTGATTTTCCAAAAGGGTTTGGTCTGTAGTTGGGTCGCGCATCTATCCTTTGGACCTGTTGCTGTTATCAGGGGCAGGGTTTATTAATATTGGCCATATATAGGCCTTTTGTCTGCTTAGGTGGCCTGGGTGGTGGTGGTATGTCCAGAACCTAGGACCTTAAGAGAGGAGGTAGGAAAGATTCTTGGGAAGAGCAGAAATAATAGCCATCATTCAATGAATATTTATTGAATCTTTCTCCTCAGGCGCTCTCCTAGGCATTAGGGATGTATAACACTGAGCATAATAGATGGATATCCCTACCTTCATGGAGCATACATTCTAATGGAGAGGCAGGAAATAAAGAAGATGAGTAAAACATATAACATGTTTGGCTGTGATAAGTACAAAGAAGAGAAATACAGCAGGAAAAAGGAGTAAGAAGAATCTATGGGGAAAAGGAGGTTGAAAGTTTAATTAATGTGGCCAGAGACAAACTCCCTGATAAGAAGGTGATGTTTAAATAAAGATCTGAAGGAAAAGGACTTGAGGGAGTGAGTCCCGGCAGGTGTAAAGGCCCTGAGGTAAGAGTCTGCCTGACGCGTTTGAGGGAGGACGTGGAGGCTCGCGTACTCGGGGGTGGAGAGACTGGGAGAGAGCAGTGAGAAATAAGGTCACGGTGCTGATGGCGAGCCACATAATGCTGGGGTTCTGGGTGGTCATAAAGACACTGCCGTCCTTCTTAGTGAAATGGGGACCAATAAAGGGTTTTGAGCAGAGGAGAGACATGAACTGAGTCCTGATTTGACCTCTGACTGCTTTGGTGAATAGACTCGGTACAAGGGCGGAAGCAGATAATCCAGCAAGGAGGCCAAAGCAATAATCCAGGAAAGAAATAATTGTAATGTGGACGAGGTTGGCGGCAGCGAAGGTGGGTGGGGTGGTGGCCGTGAAGGTGATGAGAAATGGTCAGAGTCTGGACACACCGTGAACACCGACCCAACGAGGTTTGCTGACAGAATGGACATGGAGTGCGAGAGGAAGAGAAATGTTGAAGATGACAGCAAGGTTTTAACCTGAGCGATGGCAGAATGGAGTTGCCAGTAACCAGATGAGGAGACTGGAGGAAGAGCTAGCTTGAAGGGACTGTCAGGGGGACCCAGTTTTGGATGTGAGAGGTTTGAAATGCCTGTTAGACATCCAAGTAGTGATGTTGTTATGTCTGGAGTTCAGGGACAGTGTCCTGGCTAAAGATACAAGTGTGTGATTCATCAGCACATAGATGGTATTTAAAGACACGAGGCCCGATGAGATCACCCAGAGAGTGTGTGCAGAGAGAGAAGAGCCACATAAGGATGGAGTTCTGGGGCCCTCAAGCACCACACATTTTTATTTTAGAATAGCTCTTAGTATCTCTGAGAGCAGTTGTGTGCTGCTAACGCAGTTTGAGATAACGCTGATCTAAAAGAACATTATCTTTACAACTACTTTTATTCAGAGCGCATAGCACACACTTTATTTCATTTGGCTTTTAAAAATATGCTCCTAATTTTCCAAGATGGTACAGTGCTCTCAGTAAAGGTACCATAGTACTAGTAAAAGATTCTGTGGAAGCGCATAATTCACTGGAATTTTCTGCATGTGTTGTGAGTCGGGTTGCTGCTTAGTGATGGCTCTCAACACAAGACACTTTAAAACCTCTCTAACTTTCCTGAGTGAAGTTCTTTTAGTTTGATTTTTAGTGCTACAGAGTTCCTTTCTTTCACTCAAAATATTTAGTACGGCTGAATTTTGTGAATAATGGGTAGGTGTTCAGTACAATGAGGGATGAACCGTTCTAACTTTCAAGAAACTTGGGGAAAAAACTTAAACACAGACAAAAGTGTGATTCAGAAATGAGTGCTTCCAAGGCTCCCAAGAAAGTGGGCTGACGTGTTAGAAAGGCTTGAGCTGAGCTCTGAAGGATGTTTAGAAAGGCAGAAATGAGACAGTTTTTGGTAATGACTGTGGGATAAGTATATACAACAGAAATGGATATGATCAGATCACCTGCCTAACTAGAGCAGAGTGCTGGAGAGAAGCAGGAGTAAAACCTGACTACTGCAGAGCTTCATATCTGGTGTTGCTGGTGATGGGAACTCTCCGGAAAGGGTTTGGGGAATGTTCCACTGGCAGTGGTATTTTGTTAGGCATTTGGGCCACTTGGCCATGCCCCACGCTGTTACAGAGAACAGTGCATTACTGTAACTTCTCTAGGCCATAATAATAGTTCTGGCAATTTGATGTTTTTAGACCCTTCCCATGGCGCCTCTTTTTATATCTTTACAATGAAAACATAATATATTTTTAATGTTAATGTTTCTTGGAGTACTAATGGAATACACTTTGGAAAAGTCCCTTACTGCTTGGAAGTCATGTTTCTAACACTTAAACATATATATCTTGCCTTTGCTTTTTTAATTTTTGGTTTCCGCTAAATTATTAGTCCCAACTTCCTTGTTTGTTTGTGGGTTTTTTGTTTTTTGGGGTTTTTTTTGGTCATAGTTTTCTTCTCGTATAAAAAGTACCAAATTTAAGGGGAAAATCCCATTAAAATGCTACAGAGGGTGGTGGAATTTTAGAGATCAGTTTTCATTACACTTATTTTCCCCTAATTAAGAACTCTTTAAATAGAAATTGAAAAGAAAGTGTAACTATAACTTTTTTATTAATGGGGAAAATTGGGCCATTCCTGCCACTTCCCTTCTAAGTGATAATCCATGGCACAAAATACTAAGTGCGCTGGGAACTTTTGACTTGAGGGGAGAGACATTTATATTGGTAGGAAAATATCAGAAGTCTGCCTTTCATATGGTCCTGCAAAATTCTTATCTCCATCCTTCTGTGATTGTTGAAATGTTTTCCTTGAGCTGTGGGAGGCATTTCCCACTCACTGAAGGATGCTTAAACAACCCTATTCTTAGTCAGAGTTGGAAAGGGAAGGGCCATAGGGAATCATACCTACCAGATAAGCTTTCAAAGTCACTGTCTTAAGCAACTTTCACTCTCCAAGAAAACCGCTTCACATTTTACCACTGTACTCAAACTCACACATACCTCCCTGTCCTCCTCACTGTCAGCTCACTTGTATTTCACTGCAAAAATGGGCGTCTTCAGAAGCCCTCATCTTTGCGCCACCAAATGTCCCATCTGTACCCATAAAGCCTGCTTTCCCTAGTTCAGATTGATAAACTCTCCATCTGAAGATAACCCCTCTACTTGTGGCATGGATAGGCTCTTCTCAATAGTTCAAGGTTGCTTGAGTAGATTTTGAAGTGATCTGCTATCTCCAATGCAGCAATATTCTGCCTCTACTAGATCATTCTAATTAACATTCCAAAGTGTTATCATATTTTCCATTAAAAAAAGTCTCCTATTGTATATCTTCTTCCACCTACCCTCCATTTTTTGGCTTTTCTTGGTAGCAACATTTTTCAAAATAATTATCTGTACTCTATGTCTCCATTTCTTCACCTCTCATTTTCTGCTGGGCGTCCACTGTAATAGCTCTTGTCAAGATCACCCAGCACCTCCATCTCACCAGATTCATTGGTCCATTCTTCTTCTTTTATTTCCATTCTTAGTTATGATTTATTTGAGCTTTCAGCTGCCTTTGACTTAGCTGATCTGCTTTCCTCATTGAGCCCTTCCTTCACCTGACTGTTAAGTCCTGATTGTCCCCCTACCTCACTGGCTGCAGTTTCCCAGTGTCCTCTGCCAACAGCTCCTCCCATTCCTAGAAAAGCTAGAGTGATTCAGGGTTTAGATCTTACTCTTCTTCTCTAGCTACACTCATACCTGAGCTTGTGTGATTCTGTCCTACGGTTGTAGGTATTATTTACATGGTAACATCTCTGAAATGTATGCCTTTTTACTACTCCACCTTTCCGCTTGGACTTACAGTGGGCAAGTCCCGCCTAAAACATCCAGGACTCCTGACTGTGGTCTTCAAGGTCCTCACCATCTAGTCCCTCGCCCCATTTGCACTGTGGCCTATGCAACTTCGTTTGCTGCCACCTTCCCCCCATTGCTCCTTCAGCTGCCATCACACTTGCCTTATTATTTCCCCTAACTGCCAGCTTCTTTCCCATCTCAGAAGTTTTATGCTTGCTCTTCTCTTTGCCTGGAATGTTCTGTACCCAGATCTTTTCACGGATTGTCCCCTTACTCCAATGTCTAATGTATTTTTTCAGAGGCCTTTCCTGACCCCGCTACCTAAAGTACCCTCTTAATGATTTTATTTATTTTTTTCTTAGCACTTATCACTACTTCAAATCATATTTTATTTCTCCCATGCTGGAATATGAGCCCAAGGAGGACATGTAATTGGCAGATCCTTCCCTGTTTCCCTAGGTCTTAGATCAGTGCCTGGCTCTTAGTAGACTCCCAACACGTATTTAATTGAATGAGTCAATAAGCAAATTGTCTTATATGTAAACATTGCTTTATATGTAAACCATGGTATTATATCATCAATATTTTTTAATCCAAAGTACAGAGAAATGTTTAATAGAATGGTTAAACATAATAGGAAGATGGCTACAACTAGATCCTGTTGCATGTAGACTCATATACAGGAATTCCCTTGAGTGATATATGGAGTGTTTCTTCTGTTCCCTTCTCTGGAAATAAGTTGTGTTTTCTTGGCTCTTTCCATGCAGCTGAAGAACAAGTTCATGAAAAAACTGCCTCGTGATGCAGAAGCCTCCAACGTGCTTGTTGGTGAGGTCGACTTCTTGGATATGCCTTTCATTGCCTTTGTTCGACTACAGCAGGCTGTCATGCTGGGAGCCCTAACTGAGGTCCCTGTGCCCACCAGGTAAGCTGATCCCTGACATGCGGGGGCCTACAGTGCAGTTATAGGGAAATCTTCTCTCAATAGAATGATGATGAGAGTGAGCATATTGGAAAGGTATGATTTGAAGTAATGGTTTAATCTGACTTTCATGCTGTCACAGGACTTAACACTTATATAGTAGTAATCATGATAACAAAACAATTTCTTGGACCATGTACTAGTTACTTCCTATGGATTGGTCTAATTAAGCCTCACAATAATATTTAAGTATAAATGGTTGGTATATGAATTTTATAGATGAAGAAACTGAGTCTTAGAGTTTAAGTAACTTGCCCTAGCTCATAAAGATGGTAATTGGTTCAGAGGTGAGAGTTGCTTTTAGTTGCTCTATTTTTTATCAGAAAATTGTGTGCATGCATATATGTATATATACAGACATAAAAATTTTAAAGCTGTAGGCTTACATTTGCACACTTTGCTGTTCTGTTGCATAGATTTTCATTTTAAAGGAAGCATATTACTATTACTATAACCATGTAATCCATATACTGCACAGTATCTTTGAACTAATCCTCTTTATCTCCCTCTGAATCTGTGCCCAATAGAGTTAGGAAGCTTGACTTAGGGAATACAGTAAGTGAATAGAAGTTAATGCTTCACTTAAACTTGTGCTGAAGGAGAGTCTGAAGAGATGTTTGTAATCTTCAAATTGATATCTGAAAATTACCTCCTTCAGAGTAGGAACTTTTGGGTGTGTTTGTGCTTTTTGTGGGTCCCAGAGCAAGGACAGGTGATTTTTCCCTTTTTTAGGTTTCCCCAGGTGAGCAGGCAGGGACATGGCCACACCTCAGTGACCTCACATGGGCTGAGCATGCTTTACCAACCGTGACAAGGGGCTCAACGTTTGTGTTGAGCCAAATTAGGAGGAAAATTAGGGGAACATTTCTTTTATTGTCTCCCAATTTATAGGTTACAGGACATTCTTTCTGATCATACAGGTATTTTTTCCTATTTTTTTTTTTTACACTTAATGGGAGTAATACTCATCATTATTAGGTAGTCATTGGACAATAGCAGAGGAAAGGAGATGATCATTGCGTATTCAATCAATGGAATTATCATGATTTATGCTTTCTCTAACTTAGCTTTTTGCTTGAAAACATGCCAGCAGAACCTTGACATTCTATCAGATCAGTTACCTGGGCTGACTCAGACCATAGCTGAATAAAACACCCTATGGTTTTACTTACATCTCTTTGGAAAAGCTTTACGGGGCTTGAAAGGAAAAAGAAATATTCCCAGAAGAGCAAGTATAAAATTGCTCTTGCTTTTTCATTTTTATTATTTCTCTTTAAAAGCTACAAATAAAAAAATACTTTCAGACTTTTTACTTACCAATACTGTGAGTTTATTGAGCAGCAAATTATGACCATCTTTGTGTCCCTCTTATCATCTTTTCTGCTTGTCTCATTCTTTTCTCCTGTACTGGAGCGTGGCAGCAGTCTAGAGGTGAAAGGCAGCGCCATTAGAATTAACAAAAGGAGCCCAGCAATTCAAGCAAATGTTATTCGATAATGTCATAAAACTATTTTGGGGCAATAATCTGAACAATATATCCTAGCATGTTAACATTTTTCCAGGAAATAGCTTTATCCATTTGCTGTCCTCTGAACCAGTGCAAGCTGTAATCACCGAGTAGGGAGTCTCATTAGGTTTTTTGTGTATGAGTAATGTGGGGCTGTTTACAATGGCTGCATCCTGTGAAATCCAATAAAGGAAATCCCACGAGGAATGTGGTAGTTATTGTGAAGCTCAGCCTCTGCATGCAGCCATGTCTCTAACATGCACGCTACCCCGTTGTACTGCAGGGAGACCTGAAAGTCTGCTTTTGTGCACATCTGTAATGATCGTTTTCGCTTTTGAAGGTAGAGGAAAGTTATGCTCTTATGCTTATTGCAATTATTTATAATAAATGGTATTACTACTAGGTACCTTTTAGGAAGTAGAGCTCTAGGACTTCAGCTTGTGTGGCATTCACAAGTTTCTCTAGTCTGTTATTCAGCTGATCTATTTTAGCTTTCTGTTTATAAGGAGTGTTATCTACTTAGGGGCCATTCTTCCCATCCATGGGAAAGCAAACAAACTGCCTTTTGAGCTTCGTTTGGTCACTTAGCAGGGGACACTATGATTTTCCTAGTGTCTTGCATGCCCCTTGCTTGCTGTAATCGTCGTCTATCCATAGAAGCTGCTACCAACTCATACTTTGAGTTATGTAGGGGATAAATATTATTATCCCCATTTTACAGTTGAAAGATGGCAGCAAAGAGAAGGTCCACTATCAATGCTAGAAATAGAATTGCCAATTTCTGACTGTGAGTCCAGGCTTTTAGGGAGAATCTAAGGCAATATCTAGAATAGGCCAGAATAAAATACTTTAGTGTTTTCCCATAAAAGGTAATAAAAGCCCCTGATAGGTTTGTCCTTTCCTGGCCTTGATTATCACATCCAGGACAAATAGTTATTCAGGGAGTTCTAGCCCTGTAAAACATTAGAATGTTTACCTCTTTAGTTTCACTGTAAGTTAATATATATTTTATGTTATAAATAATTATTTGCCTAAACAATGTAGTTTGTACTTTGTCAAAACCATGAAACATCCTATTAGAGAGCTCCTGATGGAGGTCCTGCTAGTTCAGTTTGGCCTTGTTTAACACAATTGCTAGCTGCTGTTTATGTAAGTAATGTGGTTGGTTATGGTTGGTTTGTGGCCTTCATGAATCCTTTGTGGAAGCTGCAGTTCAGCCACATTTCCCAAAGCTGCTAAATATGAATAATGGGTTATTTGATTCGCTGTTGTTTTGAGAGAAGGGAGTAAAGGATGGTAAATGCTGAGTTTATTCTAGAAATAGCTGTGATATATCAGGAAGGGGGGTGTACATCCTTTCTAAAAGATTGAGTGGTTTAGGAAGGCTGGCTCTTTTTCTGATATTATGCTCTGTTTCTGCCTGTAATTATTTTGTAAATGTGAGTATTGTCCCTTGGTTCCGGACACCATTCATCTGGCACTCATTTTTGTTGTGGAAAATGCTACAGGCATCCTCTCCAGGCGTAATCGGTTGTATGAAAAAGCTCACAAGAGTAGAAGCGCCTCATGAAGATTCCAGAGACAACTAGGCACTGTTAAAAAGCCCAACTATGAGTTATTTCTGGTTATGAGTGAATCAAAAGAACTCAGTCACATAAATTAATTTTTTTACCCCCAGCTGTCAACATCTGCGTGCCCATCCAGCCACACAAATGTGATGTTTACTCTAATTTGTTAATAAAGAAGAAAGCTTCTGGTTAAAAATAACATCTGTCCATTGACAAAAAATACAACTTGGGTCATGAAAGCAGTTTTCAGTACATTATAAAAAGCTGAGTTTGGCAAGATGTGCTTCTATCATAAAAGTGGTAACAGCTTTTGCTTCTTTGAGGTTTAAAGGGGAGAGAACACATTTCAAGCAGAAAGGAACTTTAACTGGATGAGTTGTTCTGCTTTCCCAAATCTTTCATGCTTATTTCAACAACAGGAATTAGAGATCTAAGGGTCTCCATTTCTGCAGGTGAAATTCTCCACTTGAGGTGATATTTCATGCTACTTAAAGATGGCCAGATGTTCTCTCTTATTCTCTTTATAATTTTAAGGAGATAGATTTACTGAATGATTCCTGACTGGAGTAATGCAAAAATTTTAACTGATATGTAACACTTTATTTCTATTTGGCATTCGATGACTTTTCATCAAAGAATAAAATTATTTATATATGTACGTATGTGTGTGTACACACACATACAATTACCTGTATATAAATCAAATTACCTAAGAAAGAGGAATTATACTTTTGTGTCTAATTTAATGAAATCACTGAAACATTATAATTCTCATATATTGGGTTTTGCTATGATACATGTTATATTCACCATTGGTCTGCTACTTCAGCTCATTCTCTGGAACTATTTAGCAGAAGTCAGAGTAAATAATTATAATAAAACCGAAACACTAATTCAAAAGAACATATGCATCCCTATGTTCATTGCAGTGTTATTTACAACAACCAAGATTTGGACCCTTTGAAGGGCCCATCAGTAAGATGAATGGATAAAAAAATGCTGTGGTATATTTACACAGCAAATACTACTCAGCCCTAAAAAAAAAAAGAAATCTTACCTTTTGCGACAACATGGATGGCTCTGGAAAGTGTTATGCTACATAAAAAAAAGCCAGTCAGAGAAAGACAAATACTATATGATCTCACTTGTATGTGGAACCTAATGAACAAAATAAACAAACAAAATAGAAACAGATTCATAGATACAGAGAACAGACTCACAGCTACTAGAAGGGAGGTGGGTTGGGGGCTCGGTGAAAAAGGTGAAAGGATTGAAAAAGAGCTTCATAGACACAGACAACGGTATGATGATTACAAGAGGAAAAGGGGGGTGTGGGAGATAGAAGAGGGTAAAAGGGGGATAAATGGAGATGGAAAGAGTTTATTTTGGATGGTGAACACACAATACAATATACAGATGATGTATTATAGAAATGTGCACTTGAAACCTATGTAATTTTATTAACTAATGTTCACCTAATAAATTCAATAAGTTTTGTTGTTGTTTTTTTTTTTTAAGAAAATGTATGCCCTCATCTCATAGGATTTCATTTAGAGGCTCCATCATTCCATGAGCTCCTGGAATAGTCACCCATTGTCTGACAAAGTTTATATTTGAGGACTACTAATGACTGAGAGTATTTTACTCATTGTTTAACAAGACAATATTTTGGCTTTGTTGCCATGTAGTCAATCTGGAAATTAACTCATATGTCAGTTGATAAATGTGCATGTCTACAATGTGCATTTGTGAACTATAATCATGATGGAAATGCTAGGGAGAGGCAAGAGGAGGTACAGAGTTGTTCTGGAAAGGTTTTAGACATATACATCTGTTACTGAAAAACTAATATTTAGATACATTGGAATAATAAAAAAAATAGCAGACAACGGAACCTCATTATTTAAAAATGTATCAAGTAAAAGATCCAGACGTCCATTTTCTCTTGCTGTGCTGCACTTGTCCCCTTTACCTAAAATTACACCGTTATTGTCCTTCCTGACAGCTGGCCATGGGTAGACAGGCAGATGGGGTGGAAAACTGTGACCAGTACTATAGGTGTTTCTTAATTTGTGTCTTGCTTTAGTGGTTAAATATTTTTTGCATGTGTTGCACTCAAATAAGTGGTCAGTTCCTTTAGAAAAATACATTTTTCTGTCAAAAAGGAGCACTGTATAAACTACATGTAGTGGTATATAATTTAAGTCCAGCCTCAAAGGAAGAAAAGTTCTAGTATCAATTGAACTTCAGTGTTAGAAGAACTAAAATCCAATTCCAATAGTGACTTCATTTATTCCTTGAACAGACTTTTGTGCCTGCTGATTGCTTTTGCTATTTCATCTCCTATAACAGTTGAAAGTGAGCTTTGGGCCCACTCCAGAACTGGTTTCTAAGCAAATAAATAATGAATGACTTTGTGGTTATTCTGAGATAAAATTGGAGTATCCATACTTTCAGATAGCTTCTTATATTCTTAATTTATGTTTTTTTCTTCTTTCGATTGAATTTTATAATGAAAAAAATGAAGTGTCTATTCAAGGGGAATAGACCATAATACATTCAAAAGTACATGCTATCAATCCTTTTTTATTTAAAGTAAGGTATATAAATATATAAGTAAAATATAAAGTTTCACTGAGCTAAATCCTATGCCATTCCTGGTCCCATAAAATTTTATGTAAGATTTCTTGCCCCCAGCTAAATATTCACAACATCTTTCCCCAGGAGAGATGTTGGATAGGCTTTCTGTATTGAATCACAACCCTTGTATATAGGTTGGACAGGTGATATTAAGCAGAATTGTGTGCTGAAAAGAACAAGTGGTAGGAAGGCCTATCTACTCTATCTCATTTACCAGGCACAGTCTTTGGGCTCATCCATTAACCTCCCTGAGCCTTGGTTCCTTCACCATAAAACAGGAATAGGATACTCGTCCTTATTGCAAAGGGTTGTGTGGAGTTTAAGTGAGGTGATGAATGTGAAATGCTTTGTCAAGCTTTAAAAAGCTGTGCAAATATATGATGTGATCATTTTCATTGATCTCATTGTTTTTGTGTTAGGTAAGACATGATCAAAAGCAAGGCTGGCATTTATCCGATGTTGTCTTTAGTATATTTTTTTATATCATTTGCATATTAGGCTTCCTCCTCCCTAGTTGAGACATGCATCTTTACTCTTGTGGTCAGTGAGGGGTTTCTTCCACCATGATAAGAGGTGAACCTAAATGAAGATAAACTTATTACTGCAGTTTTCAGGACCTACTTACTACAGAGCGGTGCCTGAGCATGATCAAGAAAACAAATTTGAAAGGAAAAATGAGGACACCCCCCCCCCCACACACACACACATACAGGCAAAAACCTTTAAATGTGTACGATGCTTTATTTTGAATTTTTTTTCCTATTTCTCTTTCTTTACTTTTGACTGTCAGCGTGTGGCTTACTTATAAAAGTCTTAGGTTTTGCTGACCCCCAGTCACTTCTGGGTAGAAAATTTCTTAAACGTGTGGAGAAGATCATATGTGATGCCCATTTGAGGTAAGGAAAAGTCAGAGAACTATAGGGATGTACTAAATATTTCTAGTTATTTTCTATAATGGGTTTTTTCCCCCTCCATTCAGTAGAAAGGGAGAGAAAAGAAAGTTTAAAAAAGAAAGAGCAAATGAACCTTTCCTTCTTGGTGAAGAAGCTTTTCAGGTTTCCATGCTGACTTCTCCAAATAAACTCAACGAATTATGTTTCACTGTAGCTGACAGTGTATTTGTCGTATTACCAAGAACATTACCTTTGTTTGAAGATGAATTCTAGGCCTAACGTTTTTATGAACTAGGATAAACATGTCTCAGTTTTATGGATTTTGAGTTTGATGAAATGTGTGTTACAGCCTTTCCTTCTTTTCTCTTCCATTAGGTTCTTATTCATTCTCCTAGGTCCTAAGGGGAAAGCCAAGTCCTACCACGAGATTGGCAGAGCCATTGCCACCTTGATGTCTGATGAGGTAGGGAGCTGGGAAGCGGGGACCTCTGGAGGTCTCACTTGGGTGCTTTCACACTGTGCTTTGGCTGTCACTGTCAGTTACTACAGTGACTTGAACTTTTTAAAGAATACTTAACATACGTTAGTTTTAAGAATAAAAAAAAGTTTAGAAAATAAAGGAAGATATGTTTTATTCCAACATAAAATTTACTTTTGAAAACCATGTAGATGTCAGCTTTTTTGCCATGAATGGCTGTACCTCATTGTAAAGAAGGCTGGCAACCACATCATTCTAATTGCATGATATGCATTCAGGAAGTGCCGCCTTTGCATATTTGCATAAAAGGTATGGAGCATTTGCTGCCTTAGATGGTTTAGTTATTGCCTTGATAACTAGATAAACAGAGAGGCCCTGTCTACATTCCTGAGTGTACTCACTCCTCTTGTCAGTTGTCCCATTCTTCTCACCTAGCTGGTCATCTGAAAGTCCCTTACACATATCCTCAGCCTTTCATAGCTGCACAGAGGATCACCTACTCAAAGCCCTTTGCTTTATATGTTGCTAGTATAACTCCGATTTTTCTTTCTTTAATAGCTAACATTATTTGTGTGTTTGAAAGCTGCAGTGTTTGGGTCTTAACCCAGTCTTAACACTCAGCTTGAACTTTTGCTTCTTGAATTATCGGCAGGGGTTTGTCCTGGTAGTTTTTATTTCAGGGAATGACTCTTCAGTATATTTCCCCAAGTTATATTCAAAAGGTTTCCATAGCAACCATATCAATAATGCTACATACCGGTGGGAGGTGAAAGGCAATGTTATTTTACAGTCCTGATAGGAAAAAACATATAAGAGAAACAGCCATTTGTTTTCTCATGACTCTCCATATAGCCTTTGGGTTTATTACTGAAATATTTTGGGGCGCACAGAATAACAGGAAATCGGAGAGTGTGGTTATAGTAATATTAAAGTGGGTTGTGGATTGCATTCTGCAGGCTGGATATGTGAGGCATGCGAAGACCTGTTATGCTGGATTAGAACCTCTCCTATTTTTCCTTAGGTGTTCCATGACATTGCTTATAAAGCAAAAGATAGGCAGGACCTGATTGCTGGCATTGATGAGTTCCTAGATGAAGTCATTGTCCTTCCTCCTGGGGAGTGGGATCCAGCGATCAGGATAGAGCCTCCTAAGAGTCTTCCATCATCTGACAAAAGGTAAATTATCAAGCAGTTGTGAGGGTGTTAAACCTTGAGAAGGAGGTTATGTTTGGCAAAGGAAATGGAGTCAGGCAACTGCCCTAATATTTTTAGATTCCCATTTAACTTGATGTATTATCTCATCTCAAATGAATCACATATGTGCCTTGCTTTGACATTTCATTGACACTGTAAAATGAATGTTATATGTTGTGATGTTCTTTGGTGATTGCAAATTAGAGCTCTCTGAGATTCTTTGGAGATGTTCTGGGGACTCCCTGTGCATGTGGAAAGGTCATTTTACACAAGATGAGGCCCTATAGATTTAAGAGGTTAAGAAATTGAGTGAAGGGGGTGGAGGGACCGAGCGAAAAGGAGGAAGGACTCACGGACATGGACACCAGTGTGGTGATTGCAGGCGGGAGGGGGTATTAGGGGGATAAATGGTAATGGGAAAAATATAATTAGAAAATAAAGGGAAATACCAGGGAAAAATAAAAATTAAAAAAAAAAAAGAAATTGAGACAATTGAGGAGAAGCCATTTTCTGGATATCTGTTATTTTCCAGGTGATGTGGGTTGCCACTTATACAATATACAATTTGTTCAGCTTTTCCGTTCCTCCAGGCATTTGCCTTGGCTCTAAATTAACACTTTCAGAATTGTCTGTTAGGATAGCAGAAGAGAATAATGGCCTTTCTCCCAAAGGATTTTTCGGCTCACCTCTTCATTAGCTGAGAGGCAGGTAAGTACAATAAGCTAATATTCTCTTGGGCTCTGTTCTCTTAGAAAGAATATGTACTCGGGTGGAGAGAATGTTCAGATGAATGGGGACACACCCCATGATGGAGGCCATGGAGGAGGAGGACATGGGGACAGTGAAGAATTACAGAGAACTGGACGGTAACTAATGGATTCTTTTTTCACTTACAATGAGGTTCTCCCTAGATCTCAATTTCCCTTCATCCTTCTATCAGCATTTTGTTCCCTGAGTTGCACATCTGTTCAGCCAACAGATATTGTTGGTGTACCTAATAGTCACAGCCCGTGGGGATGCAGCAGTGAGCTGAGCCAAAACCCCGGTCCTTGGAGGTCTGTCTTTGTAGTGGTGGAGACAAACAGAGAGCGAACAGAGGAATGTGGTGATGGTTTTATGGGGAAAAAACAAAAGAGAAGTAGCAAGTTTGTGATGGGAGAAAGATTTTTTATACAGGGTGGCCAGGGATGGCCTTACAGATGATCCCCGCATCTGAGGAAAGTGCCAAAGAAGGTGGGAGACAGACCATATAGAGCTGGGGTTTTGAGAAGGGGCAGCCGTGAGCCTGGTATGTGCTGGGTTGGCACGGTGGCCAGTGTGCCCAAAGTGGAGGGGAGTGAGGGGGTATTAGAGAGAAAATTGGGGAGATTGTGGGTGGGTATATATGACAGGAGGAATGAACAGTGTACCAGCTGTTCAATATCCAAATTGCATGGTCCCATCTCTGCCTTGTACAATTACTCAAAGGTGGGTGACATGTTACAGAACGGAGGAACTCACAGGTCTCCGCTTCCCCAGCCTGCACGTGGGAAGTCAGGCTTCCCAGATTGCTTTGGCTAAATCCCTGTTCATGACAGCTCTTCCTCCTCCACTGCTAGGTTCTCCATTTCATTTGGGGTTAACTAACATTTTAAGTAGCATACTCATTTTATGAAGGTATGTCTTTTTTAAAATAATGCAGAATGAGGTATCATTCTCCTCTATTTCACCTTTCCTGAGTGCACCAAAGGTCTGTAGTTTGCCTGGCCCTGTGTAGATAAGTAAATTGAACAGTACACAGAGCACAGCTGAGTGCTGGTGAGCACCCAGACAGACAGACAGACATACATCCTCATAGTGTGCGATAGCCCATAGTTGAAGTCTGAAAACCATGACTTGGAGGGTCAAGACTTCAGAGAGCTGGTGAGTTTCGAGGGAGGACATTGTAGGCAGAAGGAACAGCAGGGGACGGCTGAGATGTGAGCTTTGGCTGGCAGGGTGCGTTGACTGATGGATAAGTCAGTTGGCCTGCCAGCATTCACAGCGGGGCTCAGCCTGCAACACTCTTCTACCACATACCTGCATGGATTTCTCTCTTAGTTTCTTCAGGTTCCTACCCCAAAGCCACTCGGTCAGGAGGCCTGTCCTGGCTGCTGTCATATTTCAACCACTGCTACTCTAGCACTAATACTACTCTTCCCCATTGCATATTTTCCTTGATTTTTAGCACCATGCCTTATTTTGTTTTCTTATTTTGTTTCCTCCACACAGAAGGTAAACTTCCTGAGGGTGGGTATTTTTTTTCTCGGTATCATTCACTGTTGTATCTCCAGTACCCAGGTTAGCTCTGGGCACATCACAGATGCTCAATAAACATTTGTGGACTGATGAGTGAATGAACGAGGCTGGAAAGGAAGCTCTGGCAATATTATAAAGGCCCTTGTATGATCTGTTCACATGTTTGGATGTTTTTCTTTATAAGGTGAAAAATTTTAACTTATCTAGACAATTAATTCTCATCTAAAGATCCACCGTCTGATCTTTAACGAATGTGACACCTAATTTGGTGACTGAAAAAGAGATAAATAGAAGAAAATTTATCCTTCCACAGTTTTCTGGTTTTATGTTAAGTGGTTAAATAGTACCTTGTGCATTCAAGCACTGTAAGTACAAATTCTTTGTGGTTTAATAAGTGATCTCTTAGTTAATTGAATGGTAGTTTTATTTATGTTGTCACATGTTTGCTGTCTCCCTACCTAGGTTCTGTGGCGGACTAATTAAGGACATTAAAAGGAAAGCACCATTTTTTGCCAGTGATTTTTATGATGCTTTAAATATCCAGGCGCTGTCAGCAATTCTCTTCATTTATCTGGCAACTGTAACTAACGCCATCACTTTTGGAGGGCTGCTTGGGGATGCCACCGACAACATGCAGGTGGGTTTGGTTTGGGGGAAGACACAAACAGTGCCGCCCAGGTTCCTTCCTCATCCCTGCAGCTCAGCCCAGGGAGAAGCAGATGGCCTTTCAGTTACTCAGCGTGATTTTCTTTCTTTTTTTTTTTTTTCTGGATGCTGCATTTCACTTTGCTTCTGTATTTGGCCTGCTTCTGTATTTCCAACATTTTAGTAATTATAAAAATAGCTTGATGAAATCTGGCTTGAGTCACAAGTGGAGAAAAAAAGGGAAGGAAATGAGGATATACGGTTCTATTTAGGCAAAAGCATATTAGCTGCTTTAATTTTGTGCAGGGCCCAAGGTTTAGATCTTCTACTACCTTGAGTGTATGGACCATATTGTTAAACTTGATGAGCCCGCTCTTTTCGGGAATGCATGATTACCTTCATTTTGCACAGGAGCCAACAGGATTTTCAATTGAGTGATTTACTCAAGGGTGGATTTGCTTATCTGCCAGTAGAACTCAGCTTTAAGAAATATGGCGATGAGAGTTCTTTCTCCTGTTCCCGAATCTGCTTCTCAGTAAGCTGTGAAAACTCTGGGTTGACTTCTTTTGCGTGAACCACAGTTTGCTGGTTGCTTTGCAGGTGACGTTTGCCTTCCTTTTGTACCAGTAATACCTCATGTTTTAGTGATAGAAAAGACACTTCATGTTCCCTCAGTCAATCAGAAAAATATGTATAAAACTACTTTTAGTTGATCCAATTATTAAGAAACAAATAGGCCTTGTGCTAGGTACTGAACACAGAGTGAAGGAGATAGTCTTAAGAACCAGATCCAATCCTTTTTCAAACTCTGTTCTTTTTTCTTTTACTACCTACTACTGTTTAACCTATGTGACGTTCCTCAGTGCTGCCAGCCAGCTTAATATAAAAAGAAAAAAGATACAGCTGATTCCAAATGGTTGCTTTTCTTCACTTTTTTTCTCTTCCCTGGGCACATTTATGTTTTAGATTTCTAACTAAACACACACACACACAAAAATAAGATGGAGACCATCTATATTGCTCCAAGTAAAAAGGGAGAAACTATTTTAAATAATCATATTTAGTTTCTTAAGAGTACTTTTTATGTTTCAGTTCTTACCTATCACTGCATAGCATTATTATTCCAAAACTTAAGAGACTTGAAACAACCATGTTCTCTCTCACGGTTTGGGTGGTTGCTGGACTTGGCTGGGTGGTCCTCTCTTTGGTCCTCATACACTTGTGAGATGGCAGCTGAGGTTGAAGTCGCCTGAAGCCTTCTTTATTCACATGTCTGGTGCCCGGGCTGGGAAGTGTGCAGGAGCTGGGGACCGAGGCCTCTCCGCGTGCCTTTTCTGCCGGGCTCGCTCCGGCTTCCTCACAGCTGGGGACCGGGAGGGCTCTTGAGAGCCCGTGTTCTGTCCAAAAGAGGCAGTTGCTACTCACTCTGCCTGTTTCCACAGGAATGAGTAATTTGTATTATTTCATGTTCTGATTTTCAAAGAGAGGTTGAAATCTGGTGATTTTAAAATATTGGCAACTGATTAACATTTTAAAAATAACATTGTGCTGGCCAGGGAGCACATATCTGTGTGTGTTCCCAGTGACAGGCCTGCGGCTTGGGGAATGGGAACCAGGTGTGGCCGGACAAGGGGCGACGTGTATGAAGAAGGGCTTCCCCCCACCCTTCTTTTTCATAAGAGAGAGGTGAAACATTTAAATTATAACAGTGATATCAGTAATAGAATTTTTATAAAATCTGACTGTATTCAAATGGGAGAGCTAGCCCTCATCCAGATGAAAGCATAATGATTACTCAGACTGATCCTTTAGGAAAGCAGGTGGAAGCAGAGACCCCGGAGAACACACGGAGGCCAGCGTGAAGTAGGCAATACAGGCAGCCATATGCTGAGAAAATAAGAGAGAGCTGTGAGTTTGAGACAGTAGCAAGAAAAAAAATCATCTCATCTTTTGGAATATAAAGACTTTTTTGTGCAGATTTTTAAAAAAATATTTTTCAATTATAGTTTATTGTCAACATTATTTTGTATTAATTTCAGGTATTCAACATAATGGTTAGACAATCATATACTTTGCAAAGTGTTCCCCCTGATATTGCTAGTGCCCACCTGGCACCCTATGCAGTTATTACAATATTATTGACTGTGTTCCATATGCTGCATTTTACATCTCTGTGACTGTTCTGCGACTACCGATCTGTAGCTATTAACGCTGTCGCCTCTTTCACCTCTTCCCCCGACCCCTCTTCCCTCTGGCAGCCATCCATCTGATCTCTCGATCTGTGAGTCTGTTTCTGTTTTGCTTGTTTGTTTATTTTTGTGCAGATATTTCTTTCAACACTTTCATTTTCATGGATGTTCTCCCCATTGAGATGGAGACATGATGGCATTTTTTGTGTGTTGTTTATTGCCTTTAAAAGCCACTGAACTGAACTTCTTAGCTGTAGAGCACTGCATCGGAGGGGAGAAGTCTATTAAAGTCTATTGTTGAGCCCTCCTAGATGAATTAATTTCTATATGGGTGAGTTCTTGGGAAAGTAAAGGATTCTGTCGTGCAACATTAACATGGGTATTCTTCTCCTTTGTGATAAATGACATAGGAAAGTGCTTGCAGGTGGCGTAAGCTGTTTTCTGGATTCTGAAGACTTTGGGAGAAACATAAATGCTTTCCATGGCCGAGATGTTAAGTATCTATATGTTAATTTTATCTATTTTAAGGACCAGGGAGTTAGAGGACATGAAGCCGTGGAGAGCATCTCTGCACTGCAAGGGTGTGTGCTTTAACCTGCAGGAGATCGGATGCACTGGCAGTGGCAGGCTTCTTGCCTTGGCATCAGGACAACAGAGTATTTTGTGGATTTGATGCTAAGACCCAGGTCATTTCACAAGTCTATGGCAGAGGTTGATTCTTTCCTTTGAAAATATTTAATGTCTACTGTGTGCCAGACACTATTTTAAGTACTGGGGATATAGATAAGTGACCAAAATAGATAGGAACCCTATCCTGACTTCTTTTACAGTCTAGGGTGTTGATAAAGCTATCTTTTTTCTGTACCTCCAAGAGATTTCCATAGTGGGCTCATTTAGAGGGTGAGGTCCTGTGGCATTATTTGACACAGTAGATCAAGACTGAGCAGAAAAGCGTTGGCACAGCCTAAAATAATCTTCAGCTTTATGCCTTCATAGATGTGGCAGTGGGTTATTCTCCAAAGTACAAGCAGCTCTACTGAGTCAGCTGTGAACAATGCCCTTGCTTTTTTAAAGGCAAGCAGTGCCAGAGATGGTTCATGGAGGGCCTTTGTTGTCAGGCTACAAATAGACATGGGTGCTGGGTAGAAACATGTTGTGAAAACACGGATGAGTCACTGCATTGCTGTTGTTTAAGCAAACTCTTCTGCCAGCTTCTGTGCAGGAGGTCTTGCCTACTCAAAGACAGGATTTTATGTTCAAGCATTTATTTCAGAGTTGAAATATATCTACACACACACATATATATGTGTATATATAATAATCACGTATATATAATAAGGTGAACATATGTAATAATTACATATAAATTTATATGATACATAGTTAACATTCCCAGATATATATGCACGTTCACACACAAACACACAAGCACATTTCATTAGAAGCAGACCTGGGGAGCCATACGGACCGTTTGCCATGGCCCTGGGCTCGGAATAAAGCAGTTGAAGCTATGATGGCTTCAAGTATAATCAATTAATAATGACCACAGAGATGACTGTGCAAGTTCCCCATCTTGGCATTTTGACCATGAGAGGACCCTGAGGCTTCCAGAGTGAGTAGTCGCGGCTTCCTTGCTAAGTGTGGGCCAACTTTAGCTTGGGCTTCTGGGAGTGGCTGAACAGCTTCGCCAAGAGTTGGTTGGCCTTACATTTATTTAGGATCCAGCCCTGTCTTGCACTGTTTCCTTGTCTTCGAATTTAATAAGAGCATACCATTTCTGAGGTCCAGGCACTGTGCTAGCGCTCACTGTATTCTTACTGCTCTTGCTGCCCCTCTTCAGTGCCACTGTGCTCACACTCCGGTCACCGTGCCATGCTGGGAAGTAAACAGGGCTTTTCAGCTTCGCTGCCTAAAAACGTGTCCTTTCCACAACTGAAGTCTGTGATTGTGCACAACAGCTCACTGCAGCGTATTTATATTCTTAGTTGCTGCCAGGTACACTGTCCTATCCCTTTAGATACTTCTAATTAAATTGTTAAATGTCTATTTAACAAATATTTATGCATAGCTTAGTCCATGGGCAAGATACTAGAAAACATTGTTGGTGTTCCATGGCAAGTTTCTGTGTTATTTAAAAATTGGTCTTAGTTATATGAAACAAAGAAAAGCATTTTAACTTAAATTGACATTGTTGATTGTGAATGACTGAACATAATTTAGTGAAGATAGAGTGAAGAGAGTCATTTAAATTTTTTTCTAGAAGTAAATATAATCCTATTTTCACAATCTTACAGCAAAAGAATACAGTAAGATTTTTTTAGAAATCTGTGAATTTTGTGATATTTATGGAGCTAACAGAGCACATTTTAAGGAAAGTTGTCTCATAATAAGGAACATTTATAGTTGGCATCTCCAAATTTGAGGTTTTATTTTAGCATACTGCTGTGCTGAGAATATTTAATCAGTCTGCTTAAGTTGGAAATACATCATTTCTTATTCACATGCGATATTCCTTGATGAGATAGACATCTATTCATGGAGTTTATTATGTGCAATTCATAACAGCAACTTTAAAGCAAATTGATAATTATTTCCCTATAGTTGGGGCCGTTTAGTAAGTTCAGCTTACCTAAATGTTGCACTTTGGTACCAAAACGCATTTCTTCCTTGAAATGAAAATGTAAGAGGGCATGTTAATCTGCCTGAACTAGTCCAGGAACATTGAGATTTCAAAAAGTTAGGTCGGGATAATCTGTGAGAATGATACAGCTGGGTTGTTTCAGAAAGCAAAAATAAATGTCTA